CAGTGTTTCCTATCCAAGGCCATTAAGCGGCAGGTTCCTCTTTTACTCCTGGGAGGTCAAACTTCTGTTATATTCAGGTCTTCTACTGTTTAGATGGGGGCCCATCCACTTTAGGGAGGGCAATCAGCTTTATTTAGTTTACCAGTTTAAATGTAAACCACATCTAAAAATACCCTCGCACAAACATGCAGATTATGTTTGGCTAAGTATCTGGACACCCCATTGCTCAGTCAAGTTGACATAAAATTATCCATCACAGCCAGGAAAGTAAAATCAAATTGTACATTATTTTTAGCATAATACTTTTGGCAATTGTGCACATACTTTGACCATTTAAAAGTTCTAGCACACAAGGATGAGGTATTAATTGAAAAATTGGTTCTTATTTATTAATGCTTACAGCTTGTAACTAACGTATAGACTACACGTAATGTTCCTTTCGAATTTTTTATGTTTTTAGTCGTGTTGAGCTCTGTGATACCTAGATGCTGTACGTGAATAAAGAGTTTTTCAGGGTAGATCAGAGAATATGTGTTAAAAACGATGTTTGGTGGAGAACATACCCTACAGGTTTAGATATTAAAATACTTCATGTGTCATAATTGTCCTTTTAGGAAGATTAAAAAAATATTTTATAAAAAAGGTAGCATGACAACTAAAACTAACAAGTTAATATTAGTTGGGGGTGGGTATGTGGTTCATTCACTTTAACAGCTGACTCTTGATTTCGGCTCAGGTCATGATCTCGCAGTGTGTGGGTTCAAGCCCTACATCGGGCTCTGAGCTAACAGTGCGGACCCTGCTTCAGATTCTCTCTTTCCCTCTCTGTCTGCCCCTTTTCCACTTGCACACATGCGTGCACACTGTCTTACAGTAAATGAGTAAACTCAAAAAAATAATATTAGTAATAAAGTTGACAGGTCAGGTGTGAGCTAAATTTAACTGCATTATTTTTCTAATTTATCCTTAGGTCTGTTTAAGGGAGAGAACAAAGACTACATTTTTGTGGTATATTTTTCATGATTCTGGGAAACAAAATGATTTTATGGTTTTCCCTCATTCTATTGTTGTGTTTATTTTAATGTCTAAAATTTCTAAGAATCGCTTTATTAATAGTTAGAACAACAGATTAACAGCTCTAAAGGCCCCTGTTTTTGTTGATTTCATTATTAACCTCAGAGAAGTTGTTAAATTGTTTGCTTTGAGAAATAGTAAGTATTAATTATATTATGTTTGGAAAGAATTTTCTCCTTCATGAAAAAATGAATTTTAAATGTACATTTTTTTCTGAGTTGGGGGTACTGGAGTAACTGGCATTGAGGAGGTTCAATCTATTGGAGCCCTGCTTCCATAGCTGCATTCTTCACCATTTTGAGCCTCCAGCTGCATGGCCCGAGTGCAGTCATTGCTATTGTCTTTTTTGGTAAAGATCTTACGTACATTAGTATTCCCAGTTAGGATTGTCAGTGTGTGTGGGATTATCAGTAGAAACCACATGAGATGCTTCAACCTAGATCTAACGGATAAACCAAGATAAGAATGATCAGAATGTATCCACTTTAGTTACAAAGAAGTTCAGGGAGGGACACCTGTGTGGCTCAGTCTGTTAAGTGTTGCACTCTTGATCCCTGCCCAGGTCACTATCTCACAGTTTCATGAGTTTGAGCCCTGTATCAGGCTCTGTTCTGACAGTGTGGAATCTTGTGATTTTTTTTCTCTCCCTCTCTGCCCCTCCCCCACTAGCACTGTCTCTGTCTCAAAAAACAAACAGACAAACAAACAAAAAAACCTTACAAAGTGCAGGGTTGAAAACACAGGACTGTTACTTAAGATGTGGTTTTTATTATTACACATAATTACTGCTTTTTTGGGTGTAACTTTGAAATTTGAAAAGGATTAGTGGGACAAAATTGAAATGGATTTTTTTTAACCAAACTGAAATAATTAAGACCATAGAGACCAGGGGCCATTTGTAGTTACAGATGGGTCGTATCTTGAGTAGACAAAACTAATTTTAATTTATATTTTTGTTGTATCCATGTAACCATGGAAGTGACAATTATTATGTGAACAATTATTAGGGATTTACTTGGACCAGACACTCTATGTAACTTTAGGTATATTAAATCCTCATTTAATCCTCATTAAAATGTCATAATGTTAGATCTTTTATCCCATGTTTCCTTCATTTCTCGTATATTTATAAATTCTGTGTAGAAAGTTTGTCATTTCTACATAAAAACTGATTTTTAGTCTTTGCATATTTCAGACATGTAAAATATTGATAAAGCATGAATATACTATTTATAGAAATTTTTGGATATTGGATTCCTGTAGCATATAAAAAAATTGCACATTGCTCATTAACTTAACAAACATTATTAAATGCCCAAGAAGTGCCTTATATCTATAATTTACGAACTATTGTGTGGTTTTTTTTTTCTTAGATTGCCTTTATAATACTGGCCAAGAAACGGCTAAACTGTAAACTCTAGTGAGCCATGAAGATCAGAGTAGGTGGATGGATTTGGGTTTTTTTAAACAGTTTGACGCTAGCAATCTCAAAGGGAATTGAATAACAATTCTCAGCATGCTCCAATTGCTACAATATGGAGTAGATTAGAGAAAACTGCAGAATTATCCCAAAAGGATTATATTCAAAAAGAGTTATACCATTTTGGGGGAATTAATCAGCTATCATAGACAATTAGTTTTTTGTTTTTTGTTTTTTTTCAAAGTGAAAACTTGTATAAACTCCACATTATAGAAAATCAAGGCAATGAACAAGCAGAGGTTTTCAACGTGACTAAACATCTGAATCAGTTTTGGAGCTTCAAAAAAAATACAGGCAAGAATCTTGTTGGGTGGGTTTTAAAAGTATGTATTTGAAAACTACAAAAGCCAAACAAACCTACTCAGAATTGATTCTGATGTGCAACCAAAGTTGAGAACCATTGAATTGGGGGAACTGATGAAGATTTAACCTGGTCTAGACTGTGAATGCCACTGAACAGGTAGAGAATTTTATATGACTAGGAAAAGGACATATTGGTATGGACAATTGACAGTATAAAGAAAATGGTCAATCTGGCACAGATTACTCTGGAGTATAAATCCCTGGGAATTACAAGGCGTAAACAGACAGTATAGAAATCGACATGATAGAAGATTCACCTTATTTATTGTTATATTGCCTTGAATCTAGGTTCTCGTATTTTTTTTTTTCGTTGATCTTCGGTAAATAGGTGGTTTTTTTAAATCCAGCTTTATTGAGATATAAAAGACATATAACATCATGCAAGTTTTGGGTGTGCAATGTAATGATTTGATGTATGTATATATTGTGCAGTGATTACCACAATAAGGTTAATATATTTGTTACATCCAATAGTTAAAATTTTTTTTAGGGGCGCCTGGGTGGCGCAGTCGGTTAAGCGTCCGACTTCAGCCAGGTCACGATCTCGCGGTCCGTGAGTTCGAGCCCCGCGTCGGGCTCTGGGCCGATGGCTCAGAGCCTGGAGCCTGTTTCCGATTCTGTGTCTCCCTCTCTCTCTGCCCCTCCCCCGTTCATGCTCTGTCTCTCTCTGTCCCAAAAAAAATAAAAATAAAAACGTTGAAAAAAAAATTTAAAAAAAAATAAAATTTTTTTTAAAGATGAATTTTAAGATCTCCTACTATATACATACATATGCAACACACACATATTCATGTATTTTTTTTTATTGTATCTTATGTGTTTTTGGGGGGCAGAATATTTTTTATTTCAAACAAAAGATGAAAGAATAGTACATATAACTTCCATTCTGTCTTTTGCCTAGGTATACCATTTGCCCATTTTTTTACATTATCTCCCCTTTGTAAAGCCTCAGCAAGAGTGATCATGAAAAAGTTAGTTCATTTCTGTGAATTCAGGTTTCTGGTGTCTATTATATAGATTAATAATAATAATGTTTGCAGGGCCATCATGAACATTGGTAATAATAGAACATAGAGCTCTTGCACCATACAATATTCTTGATAGATGTGAGGTAGTTAGTAAAGGGAGTACTATTAATTGGTGCTTTTCTTAATATTTTAAATGTCTGTTGTCCCCAGCTGTGCTTGGAAAAATGATTAACTATTACTAGGTTGACGTTTATATATATCATGTTATATAAAGTTGTTCCTTGAAGAAGCAGCTGAGTTAAATGTTAAACTAATTTGATTTAGGATTCTTATTTAAAATTAAGCCTTTGTAAAAGTTTTTGACATAATACCATGCATTGTCTTCTTAATTGGCAGCAATAAAGCTATTTCTTAGTATTATAGACCTAGCTAGTGTAGAGTAGGATTATGTATCTTTTGAGAGAGTGCATCCAAGGTTTACAAAGGTGAGCGTGATTATGTCATATGAATTGTGTTTTTAAAATGGATCATGTCGAAGACACTTAACAAATTTGAAGAAAATAGTTTGGCTATTATATTCACTTGTAACAGTTAAACAGGCAAGAACTTAATTGTATTGAATTGACTGAATTAAGACGAATGCCAAGGACACTTCTGTGCTCATCCAGGACACTAGGTGGCACAGTGAGTTGCACACAGAAGGTACTTTCTAGCCTGAAGTGGGGGATCTGCATGAGATGGGATTTTATCAGATTCTAGGGGACTCTTTATAAACAGAGAAGGAATGAACTGTCAGGCAAATAGCTGTCACCTTCAGTTAGTCCTTTTAGATATATCCTATGATGTCTTATTTCTGTTGATTATACAATGTCCTGGTTAGCCACTTACACAGCACTGAATCCCTATCTTTATTGACTTGGGTGGTAAAGAGTGGAGGACTTATCAGTGTGGATTCCAAGTGACTTCACTGGCCTGCAGGTAAAAGTTTTGTAGTTTGACAGTTACAAACAACAGGTTAATCCAGGTTTTAGCATTGTAGGGCTTTGTTCCATTTTCTCTTAGAAACTTACTTTTTTTTCTTTCTTTCTTTCTTTTTTTTTTTTTTTTTATCTCAGAAAGAATTTCACAGCACATTTGCCTGGTTATGGACACAAAAGATGAGAATCATGTAGGTCATCGTCTTGAAGAAGTACTAAAAGACGAATTAAATGTAAGTATTCAAAGATTGAGTTTCATGATCTCAAAGAGTTCATTTTATACTTCTTTTTTTGAGCTGATGAACTTGCTAGTTAAATTCATATCTAATTGGGCTAAGGAAATGAAAGTAGTAATTAAATGTGAGGTCCACAGAAATTATTTGTAAGTTTTACCACTAATGACTTCAATTATTTATTTCTATGACAACTTTGTGTCTTGAAATGTTTTGACAGAATGATTTTATTTAACTGTAAGTAACTTCCCTGTTTCTGTTAAAACGCATACCACCTATCAGAGTTTATGGTGAACATGTGATAACTTGTTAACAATATACATGATCAAATTCTATTTAAAAGCTGAAGGAAAAAGTTGATTTTAGGTAGCTAATTTTATTACAATAGCATAGTTAGAAGAGGAATGAGCTCTGTTAGGACTGTCTGTACTCAGATGGCAGCTTTATTGCTTAATTTCCTTATCTTAAATTGAAAATGTCAATAATATCCACTTTGTGAAATTATTAAGAGGGTTGAATAAAATAACTTAAAAGTTTGAATTTAAAGTTTAAATAAATTTAAAGTACTTAGAAAAGCATCTGGCTTGTAATAAGTTTTTGGTGAAAATGAGCTATAATAATTAAACTTTCAATGATGAGACAGATACGTATTAAGTAGTAAATACTACTGGTTTCCCAAAATTTAGTCCTGAATTAGGTACACGAACTGTTAAGAACATAGATTCCTGGAATATGTAAAAACTGAGTGAACCGTACGCTGGGATTAGTTCTGGAATCCAAATTTTTAACAAGCTCCCCCAGGTGGTATTAATGACAATCAGTGACAAATTCTACCAGTAGTGTTTGCAGCAATGACCCAAAGCTGGAAA